GTGATTTAATGTGTATGGCTTTGGTCTCCTGAAAAACAAAACAAAAAAAAACCCACCAAGAGGTGCCAGATGAATACCAGTTGGGTGGCAGTTTGCCAGGGGATAGCACCTGCTGTTCCCTGCTCCCTTGTCAGTGTGCCCATGGGCTTGGCTCAGACATGCATTCCAGAACCTCAGTAAAATAACAGGGTTAGCTGGAAACAGCATCCCCTCTTGTTTCAAGGGAAACAGCCCTCAAGAGTTAGGCTGCTAGCAAAATGCACAGTTTTCACTAATGATGGAAGCAGTGGAGGGGCAAGGAGGAGGAGAGAGCGAGCCCAGATGATTATATTTTTCAGTGACTGAACACAGTTTGTTGGCATCTCTTGCTGAGTGTTATTTGCGCAAACATCTTTGACTGAGGAGAGATTTGACAACTTGTCCTTGCTCTCTATGACAGCCAAGGAAGCCTCGGATTTAGCATATGTCTTAAAGTAGTCTGTGGTTTGCTTGTCACCCCAGCATGGCCTAAAACATGGAAATCGTCCCTTCTGTCAGTCATCCTCTTACAGGGCTCTTTTTGTAGCAGGTACTCATTTGCATATTAAGCGACACACCCCTAATGTAGCCAATCCTCCAAGAGCTTACAGTAGCCTCTGTAAGAAGAGCTCTGTAAGCTCTTGGAGGATTGGCTACATTAGGGGTGTGTGGCCTAATATGCAAAGGAGTTCCTGCTACAAAATTATGAGAGCAGAAACAAGGACCTGAAACCCATGGGGAGCATAAGCAATCAGTTACATTTTTATCATGCATGCCCTGTCTCCAAGGAATTCTGTGTGGTATACATAGTTTCCCCCTCCCCTGTTTTAACTTTACAGCAGCCCTGTGAGGTAGGTTAACCTGAGAGAGAGAGAAAGAGAGCACGTGACTGAACCAAGGTCACCTTGTGACCTTCATGGCAGAGTGGGGATTTGAACCTGCATCTCACCCATCCTTGCACAACACTAATGCCTGTAGCACTCTAGTTTTCAGGAGTCTGTTCCCTGCCAGCATTTCATCTTAGCAGCCGTAGAAGGGCTGCTCACTCAGGGATGCTTTGTGTGCTGGAGGCCCCTGATTCAGTTCCTGGTATGTCCAATTAAATGGTCTCAAGTGGAAGGTGTCGATAGAGACCTTTATCTGCCTGAGATCCTAGAGAGCAACTGTCAGTCAGAACAGACAATTCTAGGCTAGATTGCCATAACATTAGGACATGTCATATGTTAATACCTTCTCACCTCTCATTTCCCCCCACACTGGCGCCACTTGTTCCTTCTCAGTCTTTGGATGGCATGCAAAGGAGATGGCTTGGCTAAAACCTTTCCCCCGATGTGGTAGTTTTCTGTTGGTTGCAGTGTTTTAGGTGAGAGGTTTTACACGCGTAACCCTTCTGTCCCCCAACCTTTAGTAGTCCAGAAGAGCTTTCCTTTTTTATTTGCGCTGGCTGTAGAAAAAGCCCTTCCGCAACTTTTTCAACAGCCCTGAAAGATATGCACCTATTATCCCCCACGCCAGTATGATCAAACGTGATTCATTAACTATCTATTATTAAGTCATAATAAAATGTAGTCATAGATGCCCTGAAGCCAAGAAAGCCACTGTGGAAGTTTAATTTTGCCTTTGTATTGTGTTATAATGTTAATAGCTAGGAAGGGGTTGTGTATGTTAAGTGCCGTCAAGTCACATCTGACTTTATGGCAGCCCTATGAATTAATGACTTCCAAAACAGCCTATTGTTAACTGCCTTGCTCAGGTCTTGAGAACTGAAGGCTGCAGCTTCCTCGATTGAGTCAGTCCATCTCATGTTCGGTCTTCCTCTTTTCTTGCTGCCTTCAACTTTACCTAGCATTTTTTGTCTTTTCCAGGAAAGGGTTAGATCCAAGCTAAATTAGCTAATTCCATTTTTAAAGCTAACTTGATTGTTTCCCAATAACAGATAACTAATCTGGTTTTGTAACTGGCATAAATATCAGACTTGTGGATGATTAAAGTATTGTTTGTTGCCCTAATAAAGTTAATATGTTAAAATTACATGACAATGGCTGCAGTCACACACGCTAAATAATCCACTTTCAATCCACTTTTGAATTGGATTTTGCCAGTTCACACAGTAAAAATTCAGTTGGAAAGTGGATTGAAAGTGGATTATTTAGTGTGTGTGACCGCAGCCAATATTTGACCAGGCAGTGGACCAAATCTTTTTTTTTTTACCAGTCAGTTGTCCAACTTCATTATACCCACATTAGAAATGTCAGGGAGCTGAGAGAACAGTGACTTGCCTGAAATTGTGTGTGTGTGTGCGTGTGTGTGTGTGTGTGTTAGCAATCATATTTCTGGCAGGCTGAATTATTTTTATAAAACAGAGTCCCAGTGGCAACTTAAAGACTCACAACGTTTATCCCAGCGTGAACTTTTGTGAGTCAGATGCTTCTTCAGATGCTATGATGAGGGAATTATTTTTAACCTTACTTTTTAACCTTTATAGGATGTAGGAGATGAGAAAACTGCTAACATATTGACAAGTCTGGGCATCAAGAATACCTTTCCATCACGTCCTTAAATATTCACTTCCATTTCAGTGGAAACTTTAAAAGAAAGCTTCATGCTCTAAGCAAAGCTTCATAAAACAGGAGCCATAATGCTGTGTTGTGCTGGCTGACTGTTAGCTCTGAGCTGACAATGCTGACAGGCCCTGCCATCTATCCTGTAAGCTAATAAAGTATATCCTTGGAGACTCTCAAGCATGTCCTACTTCTTCCATCTCTAGCAGGACACTTACTGAAGTGCTTCATTCAGCATTTGTCCGACCTGCTTGTAAATTAAGAACATAAGAGAAGCCAATGTTGGATCAGGCCAACGACCCATCTAGTCCAACACTCTGTCACACAGTGGCCAAAAATACTAGGTGCCATCAGGAGGTCCAGCAGTAGGGCCAGGACACTAGAAGCCCTCCCACTGTTGCCCCCCCCGCAAGCACCAAGAATACCCTTGCCCCAGCCTGTGAGTTCCTATCTATACCTTGTGGCTAATAGCAACCGATGGACCTCTGCTCCATATGCTTATTTAATTCCCTCTTGAAGCTGTCCATGCTTGTAGCCGCCGCCACCTCCTGTGGCAGTGCATTCCATGTGTTAATCTTTGGGTGAAGAAGTATTTCCTTTTATCTGTTCTAACTCGACTGCTCAGCAATTTCATTGAGTGCCCACGATTTCTTGGGAGAAAAGTACTTCTTTCTCAACCTGCTCTATCCCATGCATGATCTTATAAACCTCGATCATGTCACCCCTCAGCCGTCGTTTCTCCAAGCTAAAGAGCTCCAAGTGTTTTAGCCTTTCTTCATAGGGAAAGTGTTCCAACCCTTTTATCATTCTCGTTGCCCTTTTCTGCACTTTTTCCAATGCTATAATATCCTTTCTGAGGTGTAGTGACCAGAACTGTACACAGTACTCCAAATGATATCACACCATTGATTTATACAGAGGCATGATAATACTGGCTAATTTGTTTTCAGTTCCCTTCCTAATAATCCCCAGCATAGCGTTGGCCTTTTTTATTGCAATTGCACACTGTCTCGACATTTTCATTGAGTTATCTACTACGACTCCAAGATCTCTCTCTTGGTCACTCTTTGCCAATGCAGACCCCATCAATGTGTATTTATATTTAGGATTTTTTGCTCCAATGTGCATCACTTTTCACTTGACCACGTTGAACCCCATTTGCCATGTTGACGCCCACTTGCCCATCTTCAAAGATCCGTTTGGAGTGCCTCACAATCCTCACTCGTTCTCACCAACCCTGAACAATTTCGTGTCATCTGCAGATTTAGCCACTTCACTGCTTACTCCCAACTCCAAATCATTAATGAACAAGTTAAAAAGCATCGGTCTGAGTACTGATCCCTGTGGTACCCCACTGCTTACCACCCTCCACTGAGAAAATTGCCCATTTATACTCACTCTCTGTTTCCTATTAATTAGCCAGTTTTTGTTCCACAAGAAGACTTGACCTTTTATCCCGTGACTATTAAGCTTACTTAGGAGCCTTTGATGAGGAACTTTATCAAAAACTTTCTGGAAGTCAAGGTAAACAACATCTATTGGGTCCCCCTTGTCCACATGTTTGTTCACTCCCTCAAAAAACACTAACAGGTTAGTGAGACAAGATCTTCCCTTACAGAACCCATGCTGAGTCTTCCTCAATAGTTTTTGTTCATCAATGTGCCTACTAATTCTTTCCTTAATAACAGTTTCCACCAACTTGCCCGGTATCGACGTCAGACTGACTGGCCTGTAATTTCCCGGATCTCCCCTGGAACCCTTTTTTAAGATGGGAGTGAAATAAACTACCTTCCAGTCCTCAGGAATGGAGGCAGATTTTAATGAAATCTTGGAGGCCTCCAAATTCTAACTTTGCAGGGTGCCATTGTCTTTAAAGAGAAAATGGGCTCTGTGCCTAATAACCCCAGTCATGTGGACGTACAGCAAGCTGACATACCAAGCTGAACCAAAACAGTTGTGGTATGGCACTCTTTGTCCAGAATCTCTGTCCTGCTACAAACATGCTACCCTGGATTGGGAAAAGATCCTGAGAAGAGGAGATGTGTTTGGAAGACTTGTAGAGAGGTTGCAGCATTGGCTGTCAGGCTAAGCCTTGGAACTTTTTCAAGGGTCAGCTCTTGCCCAGTTAGGTATCTATGGCTTTAGAATGTTCTGAATCCCTGAAACTGGAGGATCTCTGGCCAGGCCAGGCCCTGGGAGTCCTAGAAGTGGTTGAAGACACAACAAAGTGAGCTGACTTAAAATGCATGTTTCTTACAATTGAAAGGTTAATGTATACTGCCACACATCTAGATAGAGTTTCCAGGCAAGTTTGACCACCATCCCAAAGGGATTCTATGTCCTGCTGGGATTGCCAAAAAGGCTTCTGATTGCAAGGGCTATTCAGTAATGTGTATCTCATTTATTAACTCATCCTTGCAGCTGGAGGAAGGTGAACATTTTGCCAAGATGGTGATAGACGTGGGGGAAGATGCTGGGGAGCTTCTAGCAAAGGGCAACCTCGCCTTGGGCCTGATATACAGTCTTCAAGCAACTGATGGTAAAGTATTCAAGTCCATATGATCAAATGTAATCCATACAGAAGTTGTTCTCAGTTTAAGCACTTAGAAACTTTGAAACTTAAGAAAACATGCATGTGAGGCTTGCATTGTAGACCAGGGTCCATCTAGTACAGCATTCTGTTTCTAACAGCAGTCCATGAAGGTGATGATGATGGAGGTGGAGTGTTGCCCCTTACCCATATCCTACTACTTCAGTGAACAAAGTTTGAAGCCTTCCTCCAACTTAAGTGGCTCTTCTGTTAGAGGAAGAGCCACTTAAGTTGGAGGAAGGCTCCTTAAGCTGGCCCTTTGAAGGATGGTTGGATCCACCCTAATATCATTTAGCTGTCATGGCTATTGATAAGACCTACCCACCATGGATTTGTCTAGTGCTTTTTCAGAAAAGGTTTCAAAGCCAGAAGACATCACCACATCTTGTGGTAATGAAACCTGAAAAGGCTGTTTATACCAAGAGGATAGAAGGGATTCTTTGTCAGGGATGGAAAACTAACAGTGTTCAGCCTTTTTGCTGATACAAAGAGAATTTCCTCTGGCATCCCACTGGAGAAGTTGCTTTTAAAATGATGATTACTACTTGGTGGTGTTTGAGCTGAGAGCCAAGCAACATAGTATATCACCTTCATGATTGCTCTCTAAGTATCTGAAGGGCTGTTACTTAGAGGAGGGCAAGGAGCCGTCCCTGTTGGCAGCAAAGGACAGGACTCAAAATAATGGGTTTAAATTAAGGGTGGGAAGGTACCAGCTGAATATTAGGAAAACATTTTTACAGTAAGAGTTGTGCCACAGTGGAATCAGCTGCCCAGGGAGGTGGTGAGCTCCCCCTCACTGGCAGTCTTGAAGCAGCAGCTGGATAAACACTTGTCAGGGATGATCTTGACTGATCCTGCATTGAGTAGGGGGTTGGACTAGATGGCCTGTGTGGCCCTTTCCAACTCTGTGAATCTGTAATATATAGGATGTCCATGATCAGATCAGATCTCCCCATCTTAAAATTCACAGTAAAAGGGGGGGTATTGGGGGGAGAATTTGGATTGGGGCTGTGGCAGGTGGGAGTTCCTTCTCCTCACATATCATTTTCCCAAGAAGAAGGTGACCCCGGGATGACATTATTCATTCTTTATTTAAGAACATTTCTGTGCCACCTTTTCACTCCAGAGTGTCCCCAAACCAATGAACATCAAAGCATTTCAGCACTAAACATCAAGAAATTAAAATGGCATTTAAAACATAAAGGTATATAAAATATTTAAAAATTCAATAAAACATGTAAACACACAAACACACAACACCACAACCAGGGAGGATGGCCAATATTGATTACTGAGGGAATGCCAAACAAAACAAAAGTCTTCACCTGCTGGCAGAAGGCAGTAATAGAGAAAGACAGATTAATCTCAGTGTGGAGGGAATTGCAGAGTTTCAGCTGAGAAGGCCCTTTCTCATGTTTCCACCTGTCTGGACTCAGGTAGCAGGGGCAGCTGAAGCAGGGCCTCCAAAGATGACTGCAGTGGACAGGTAGGTTCATATGGGAGTCGGTGGTCTTTAAGGTATGCTGGCCCCAAGTCATATAGGACTTTAAAGGTCAACACCAGCAACTGATCTGGGTCTGGAAGAAAAATGGGAGCCAGTGTAGACAGAACAAGAGTGAAATGATATAGTCCATATGGCCCACTCCAGTCACCATTCTGGCTGTAACATTCTCTACCAACTGTAGCTTCCAGATAGTCTTCAGGGAAAGCCCCCTGTAGAGCACATTGCAGTAATCTAATCTAGAGGTTACTGGTGCATGTCCCACAATGGCAGCATCTTCCCCCCCAGGAAACCCACAAGTGGCTCACCAGCCAAAGCTGATGAAAAGCACCCCTGGCTACCATTGCTAGCTGTTTATCCAACAGGAGACCCAGGTCTAGCAGCACCTTCAAGCTATAGACCTGTTCCTTTAGGGGGAGTACAACCCTATTCAGAACAGGAGATATCTCTGGTCCCAGGTTCAACTTTCTCCCTCCCTCAATTTTGTTGGGATCAAGATACAGTTTGTTAGTCATCATCCATCCCAAAACTGCCTCCAGGCACCTGTCATAGTTTCCACATCTTCCTTGGGATCTGCTGGAAGTAGAGCAGAGTGTCATCTGCATATTGGAGGCAATTATGTCCAGATTTCTGGATGACCCCTCCCTGCAGCTTCAAAAAGATGGTAAAAAGTATGAGGGGCAAGATGAAATCTTGGGGGACCCTGTAGGCCACAGGCCAAGGGGCCGAACAGCACCACACTCTGAAACCTGCCTTTTAAGTAGGATGGAAACCACTGCAGAACAGTGCCTCCCATTCTCAACCCTGAAAGGTGGTCCAGATAGATATGAAGAGAGGTCCAGGAGAATTAACCGGATTGCACTCCCCCTGTCCATCTCCTGGTGGAGAACATCCACTATTAGCCCCAGTGTGGAGAAAACACAAGTATCTTCAGTAATTTTTTAAATGGTGAAATAAAGTTTGGGAGATCCAACTAAAATAAAAGACTGTCAAATGTACAGAAATTGAGCTTGCTGAAATGGTTTATATTGTATCATGATCTTGTTAGTGTTAAAGGGGGAAATGACAGAGCAGATCCATGTTTTAAATGGGCGGGGGCATCCCAAACTCTTCAGCTTGCATCTGAGGACTGCTTCACATATTTTTAAAGTGTACACTAAAAATACGAGTTTCCCACTATAAGTATGTCAGCCAGGTGAGGTTGTGGTTGTCTGCAGTGTGTATATACAGTGGTAAATATGTTTGCTGCTACATAACGATGTCTCTTTGTAAGACAGACCTCTTGTAAAGAGATATAAGTGCAGTTCTTGATGAGTTCACATCTGATAGAATGAGTTGGAACTGTGTTTCACAGAGGATGCTTTATTCCTTCCCCCCAGGTCAAACTGAGATCACTTACTGACAGAACACAGATTTTTTTTCCCTCTGTTACATATATTTTTTTCTGGCTAAAAGTCTCTTTTTGGATGTTCCCAGTGGGCTGTTCACAAAGCACCTCTTGCAATTTCTGTTCTGTTGCTGGCTCCAGTGACAATCCAGCTTCCCTTATCTCATGCAGAATTTATATGAGAGGGTGAGAAACACTTCTCTGGGCTTAACTCGACAGAGAGCATGCTTGAAATGAGCCGCTGCTCCTGGACAGAAAGTGGATGAGTTTTGTTACTTTTTGCAATTTCCACCCTTCTTTATCATCTGTTGGAGATAATATAACTCTTTATTCTAGAGGAGTAGCTGTGTTAGTATGCTGTAGCCAAAACTACAAAGAGTCTCATGATGGCTTAAAGGTTTAAAAATTGATTTTTTAAAAGGAGTATATATATATAAGGAGTATATATGCAGGAACACGGAGGCAGAGACCCACTACTTTGTAGCCTTCAGTTGTCCGATTCCTGTGTCACCACTCAGAGGGCACTGGAGGGTAACAACAGAGCATTTCATTATTCTGGCATGGAGCTTCAGCTTCAATTATCTATGCTATTAATTAACAAGAAGAAGAGAAGAAGAAGAGATTGGATTTATACCCCGCCCTTCACTAACCAAAGGAGTCTCAGAGCGGCTTATACACTCCTTTCCCTTCCCCTCCCCACAACAGACACCCTATGAGGTAGGTGGGGCTGAGAGAGCTCTGAGAGAAACTGCTCTTTTTCAAGAACAGCTGTGCCAGAACTATGGCTTGCCCAAGGTCATCCAGCAGGTGCAAGTGGAGGAGTGGGAAATCAAACCCGGTTCTCCCAGATTAGAGTCCGCAAACTTAACCACTACACCAAACTGGCTCTCGATGGGTTATTACATTCTGGGACTTCATCTGAGCTGAGGGGTTATGGTGCTGAGCTAGGAGTTACTGATTTGGGGGGCTGATAATCATTTGGTTCATATGTGTTATGAGCTATGATTTGGAGTCCAGCCATATTGAGGTAGATCAGGATGGTATGGCACTATGAACATAAGAATGAAAGAGAAGCCATGTTGGATCAGGCCAGTGACCCAACCCATCCAACACTATCAGTGCGTTCAGACGGGGCTTTCTGCCGGCAGAAACGCGATCAGACTCACCCTCCATCTTCCGGATCCCTCCGTTGGACGCCCGCTCACATGCTGCGGGCGTCGGCGTTTGTTTTTTTTTAAAGCAGTTTGAGCATGCGCATAGGCAGCCATTCAGAGAATGGCAATTTTTGCGCATGCTCAAAACCCCCCCCCCCCAGTAGATTTAAACTTTAAAGGTAAGGACTTACCTTTAAAGTTTAAAGAGCACAGTAGCCTCCCGGAGGTCCCTGACGCCTCCGAAATGCTGCAGTAAGGGCTTTTTTTTAAAAAATAAACGCTTAGGGCGAAGCTTCGCCCAAGCGCATACCGCTAGGAGTCTTTTTTAAAATGGCGGGGGAAAGCTGGAAGCCTCAGGCTTCCGACGGAAGTGGCTAGGCACCGGTGGAGAGCGATCAGACGCCGGTTTGCATCGGAAGCCACCGTTGCACTGAGTTTACCACCACTAGGGACCTAGTGGCAGAGTGCAACGGTGTACAGCTCTTTATAACGGATAAAGTGGGAAGACAGATGTTCCCCGTCTGAACGCCGGTAGGTACATCGATTGCAACCGGCACAGAATCCGTTGTAAAGGCTGCGTCTGAACGCACCCAATGTGTCACACAGTGATCAAAACCCAGGTGCCATCGGGAGATCCACCATCTGGGCCAGAACTCCAGAAGCCCTCCCACTGTTGCCCCCCAAGCACCAAGAATACAACGCATCACTGACCCAGACATAATGTTCCATCTATATGTTGTGGCTAATAGCTATTGATGGACGTCTGCTCCATTTGTTTATCCAGTTCCCTCTTGAGGCTATGCTTGTAGCTGCCACCGCTTCCTGCAGCAGTGAATCCCACGTTAATTACTCTTCGGGTGAAGAAGTACTTCCTTTTATCTGTTCTAAGCCTGATGCTCATTAATTT